TGATGACGAGGCGGAGCTGCAGCAGCAGCAGCAGCAGCAGCAGCAGCAGTTGCTGCTGCTGCAACAGCAGCAGCAGCAGCATTTGCTGCTGCTGCAACAGCAGCAGCAGCAGCAGCAGCAGCGGGACGTGCTGCTGCAGCAACAGCTGCACTCCAACTTGCTGGGTGCCCACAACCCTCAGAGCTGCAGCATCTACTCGGCTGCTGCTGCTGCTGCACAGCAGCAGCAGCAGCAGCAGCGGCAACAGCAGCAGCAGCAGCAACGGCAGCAGCAGCAGCAGCAACGGCAGCATGCAACTGCGCGCCATGCTGGTAGCGACAGCTTTTGGCTTCAGGAGGTAGCAGATAGGCTGCTGCAGCAGCAGCAGCAGGAGCAGCTGCAGCAGCAGCAGCAGCTGCTGCAGCAGCAACAGATGCAGCAGGACCCTCAGATGACTAGGACTGAGTGGCAGCAGCAGCAGCAGCAGCAGCAACCGCAGCAGCTGCAGCACAAGGCAGCAGCAAACGCTGTGCATGCTGCTGCTTCCTACGCCAGCTTCTCCAGCTGCACGAGACACAGCTCGCTTGATCGCGAACAAGAGCAGCAGCAGCAGCAGCAGCAGCAGCNTTCTCCAGCTGCACGAGACACAGCTCGCTTGATCGCGAACAAGAGCAGCAGCAGCAGCAGCAGCAGCAGCAGCAGCAGCAGCAGCAGCTACTGCTGCAGCAGCAGCAGCAGCAGCAGCAGCAGCAAGGATTGCAGCAGCTGAAGCAGCAGCAACTCACGCAGCAGCACATGCAATGGCGGCAGCATTCGCAGGAGCAGCAGCTGAGGCAGCAGCAACTCTATTGGGACCAGCAGCAACAGCAGCAGCTGCAGCAGCAAGAGCAACAGCAGCTGCACCAGCAGCAGCAGCTGCTGCTGCAGAAGCAGCAGCAGAAGCAGCAGCAGCAACAGCAACAGCAGCAGCAAACACTGCACCACCGCCAGCGTCTTGCACGGCAGCGGGAGCCGTCTCCATGTGCAGAGCTGGCGCTGCGAACGCAACAGCAGCAGCAGCAGCAGCAGCAGCAGTTGCTGCAGCAGCAGCAGCAGCAACGAAAGATATCCCGTGTACCACGGAGTTCGTCAGCTTCCGCAGCAGCAGCAGCAGCAGCAACAGCAGCAGCAGCAGCAGCAGCAGCTAGAGGGGCCCCTGCTGCTGCTCGCCATTCGCCGAGGCCCCCATTAGGGATACGAAGGGGCAGTGCTGCCTCTGCAGCAGCAGCAGCAGCAGCAGCAGCAGCAGCAGCAGCACCTGCAGCAGCAGCAGCAGCAAACGCTGCAGCAGGTGCAAGAAAGCTCCGCAGCACTTCTTCAGGGGCCCCCAGCAGCAAGCGGTTCGCTT